CATAATATAGTTTGCTTTACCTTTTTTAAAGCCAGTTCAAACTATATTATGATGTTATCAACTTTTTGACACTCTCCATAAGATTTAACCCTCTTTTTGCAAGCCTTACATGTGAACTGAAACCAAAACTTAAAATATAGACCAGATACGGTTGCTTAAGATATAATAATACTGTATTTCACCAGTGTCTGTTGTCAGTAGAGACAGAAATAATTGGTTATATACATACTATCACAAGGTGAGTTTAGTTGGTAATTTGGTACATATGGCTGTTTAAAATTCTTCATTTTCTGTTGTTAGTGATGTAAACTGTACTGGGACTCTTTCTACCTTCTCGATACATACATTTAGAAACACTTTGTTTACTTGTGTATACAAAATAAGCTCATCTTTGAGTTGTCAGGTGATTATTTGTGCCCAATAAATGTAGAGATGCAGTCACATCATGGTTAGTATAAAGATAATGGAATTAGAACGAGAATCCCTCCACATTTCAAAGAGGAATGGTAATGGGTACCCATTTGGGAAGGTTTGTCATCAAACACCTTTTCTTTGACTTTTTTTTTTCAAACATGCTTGTTTTAAAAGTTGATCAGTGTCAAAATATAATACTTCTGTAGAAGAAAAAACACTGTCGGTACTAACCACTGTGAAAATGAGATAAAAAGTATTTGAACATTTCAAAGGAAGATGGACATTTCAGATCATCTTTTGAATAATTAATTTACTTAACATTAGTATGTATCAAACTCTCCAAAAGCATGAGGTGGAGGACATTAGAAAAACTGTCATGTAACAGTTAAAAAACAATGTGAGAGTTTATCTAAATGCAGACAGAAAATTATAATAAAATTTATATCACAAACTGTGAACAGAAAGTTGTGTAATGTTGTTCGATGGGCTATGTGTTTCACCATTTTTGTTATAAAAAACACGTGATACACTTGACCATAATTCTGTTGTTCCAACAGAGTAAAGCTCTGGAAGTTTGTCCTATTCCCCTAAAAGGATAACTATTATCCAGAGTGTACATTTCTGCACGTTATTGACAGCTAGTCCTAACACTTTTTTAAGTTGATAGTCCATCATGCTTGTATTGTCCATTATTGATTTGAAGAACCTGGCAATGTAACCAGATCTCAATCCATTTGAGAATCTTTGGAAAGAACTTAAATGGTACATTCTATACTGTAATCATTCTACCAACATCTAGGAACCACTTCAATAAATATGCCAAAATTTAATAAGACACCTGAAATCTTGTGGAGTCTATACCATGGTAATCTCATTCTTTTATCACATCTAAAAGTAGCCCTTAATGTTAAGTGAAGGATCTAATTTAAATGACTGGTCAATATCGTTATTTTGTCACATTTCTTATGGTTCTTGAAGTTATACATGATTCAGTTTTGTTTTTTTTTGCCAACTTTTTATGGTGTAGTTAGAAAGAGTGATGGTAATTTTGTTTGTGTGTTATTTCAACTTTTTCAGCTGCAGCTACAAATTTAGTTATTGTGTTACGTCTTATTTCTCAGTTTCTTGTGCATATTGGTAGATTGGTAAGTGTGTTATGTCAAACTTTCATGTTGTATGTTGTTAATATAAATGTAAAGGATACTAGTAATTCTGGATGTCACATTTGTTGTAGTGTCTATAGTTGTGATGCAGATATATGGTATGTGTATATGTTTTGTTTGCTATCAGACTGAAATTAAGAATATATTTAATATGGCATGGGTGATATGTTTGTTGTGGTGTCTGTAGTTGTATCGGTGTTTTTGTTGTATGTACACTGGCTGTCTTGACTGAAGGTAAAATTATCATAAGTTAGGATTATCAGGTGACATGTTTTATCATATTGTCTGTATTGTAGTCATATTTGTCGTTTTCTCTAAATTTAGAATCATGGGTAATTTTGTATTTGTGTTATAGTCACGTGCATATCTATTGTAATATTAGGAGGTTGTTTTTGTAAAATTATGGGATGTTAATGTTTAGTGGTAGACTCGATTATTGGGAGTGGTTTTAAGTATGTGAATCATAATGCAGTAAACCAAGGAATCTGAGTACTTTAGGGGTTAGTTGGAAAGGTTAAAAGTCCTTGGATTTCTTCTGATTGGATTTATCGTCATAAATGTTGTAGATATTTTGAGGGAAGATCTTTGTAACTTGGACTTGCTTATTTGGATATAATTCTTTTAGCATTTCAATAAATAAAAGTAGAGCTGTGTATGATTGACCTTGAAGTATTGATAATACTGAGACGTTTTTACTACGACAGGAAGTGACATGGCCCGTAGCATACTGCTTTTTGCCCAAGGACAACCACTTGGAGAAAAGGGATTGGAATGGCTCAAACTTCATGTTATCAACTTAACTGGCTTTAAAAAAAGGTAAATTTCAATGATGAGGAACCCACTTTGAGACTAATAATAATGGCTGGAGATGGCTTGAATGGGTAATGAAGAAAAACATTAATATAAGTTTAACATAACAGCAAATGTACAACATTTCATCATCATCAGTTATGTTAAACTTATATTAAAGTTTTTCTTCATTACCCATTCAAGCCGTCTCCAGCCATTATATATATATCTGTGTGTATAATATACCTATTGGAACACACATGTTCCATATGCAAGTTTCAGAAAATGCACTTGGGGAAAAACTTTCACAAAATACAAAAAGCATTCCTTATGTATCATAGATCATTTTTATAAACTTGTACCTTGTCATACGGATGGAATATGTAATGACAAAATGCAAGAGTTATAAGGAAAACAAGTGTAAAAAATAATTATTTGCGAAAGCAACAAAACCTATTCAATTCCCTAAACTATTGCGTCAATAATTACAGTAATATCACCCTTTAAATTACAGAAGAAAATTTGATATCAGAGTTTAAAATCACTGAACAAATCGTAAAACACTATTTAAAAATTTAAAGCAAAAATTGCTTAGCCCCATATCCAAAGGAAAACAAGTATGGATATCCTTTCAGTACTTTAAATAATAGAAATAAAATGCAAATCAAAAGATACAACAACAGCAGAAAACAATAGATAGAGAAACAATATTTATCATTTTATGGTTGACAGAAAAAATGTCACCCTCAAATGAGAAAAGAAAAATGTTTTAGTATTACAATAAGCCCATTCTCAGAGTGCTGAATTAATATTAAACAAGTTATTATTCTCAACTTTAGACTGACCTGTCGATTTTTGAGCCGTATGTTCATGGACACTGACTGTTCTTGTAGTGTTAGAATCTCATGACTAATACTACCTAGGTCTTCTTGGAATGTTCTTAACATCTGTTCCATTCTCTGTAAATGAAAAGAACTTAAAATGTGGGAACATCTTCACCTAACACTCATAGTTCTTATATTAATTTTCTGCATCCATTTTCCTCTTGATTTTAGTATTTTCTTTAAAAAAATATTGAACAAAAGCAATTTACAACAGAGATTTATCTTTTGAGTGCATTTAGAATAAAAGATAAAAATTAACAAGAGATTTTTTGGTAAAACAATTACTTCACCAAAATGTTTGTTTCTGGTACCTCTTATAGGGACAAAGAATAGACATCACTTTAGTAAACGAAGCTTTTAGAGTGAAAACATATTCACCTCAAGTATTCCGTCACAGGCTGCAATCTGATTGTGAAGACTGGCAATGTTCTGACTTTCTTGTATATCTATACATTAAGTGGTTAAGGGGTATACAAGTCAAGTAAATATACAATAACACAACTGTAGGAACAAAGTGTATTTTACATGATTCACTTGAATACAAAAACACTGACAATACAGATCTCTTAGCTGCTGTTAAAAAAATTTATCTATGAGTTAAATTAGATTCAAACATTTATTTGTAAGTGACCAAGTCAACTAGAACAGTGGCTAGATGTGTGAAAAAAAAGGGGTGACATTATTAAACATTTTCTAGTCTTTATTACCTGAAAATAAAAACTAGCAGCAACATAGAATTAAACGAGTTTTTCCACTGGTATAATAACCTATAGTTTAAAACAATCAAGGAAAAAACAAATTTGGAATATAAAAATTAGCATTTTATTGAATTACAGAAACATGATTTTTCACCCTATGTGCTAAAAGTTTGTTGTTGTTGCTCATTGCTCTACAAGTGTTTGTTTTGAATTTCGTGCAAAGCTACACGAGGGCTATCTGCGCTAGCCATCCCTAATTTAGCAGTGTAAGACTAGAAGGAAGGCAGCTAGTCATCACCACCCACCGCCAACTCTTGGGCTACTCTTTTACCAACAAATAGTGGGATTGGCCGTCACATTATACCACCCCCACGGCTGAAAGGGCGAGCATGTTTGGTGGGAAGGGGATTCGAAACTGCAACCCTCAGATTGCGAGTCAAGTGCTCTAACCACCTGGCCATGACGAGCCTGCTCCATAATTCAATGTGGATTGTTCTATATTGCGTCTATATGCCTACAGGTAAAGATATTTGCTACTTATACTGTCACTTGAGAAGATCGCATTTAGAGGACAGTAACGTGAATGCCCAAGGCCACATGATGACACAACCATGAGAAGATGAGGTTATGGAAGCTTCAATTCTCATAGGTTTCTTTGCATCAAAATGACAGTATTAATTCACTATCTAAAACACAATTCCATGACTGACCAGTGTTTTCCTTTTATTAATTTCAAAACTTTATTTTTATTTTTAGAATGTTTCCTTAAAAGATAAAAAAACATAAAACATTAACTTTCATTTCTTGTTAAGTTTAGTTGTTGTTTTTTGCTAATCAGCTCCTTCATCCTTTTTTCAGGCCAACTAAAATAAAAAACCCTCGACAACACTCATATTCTACAGTCAACAGAGTTTTAGAAATTTCTGCCAGGTATAAGTTTGATTTCATAACTGTCTATAACTACTTCACATATATATATTCCTGCCCCCTCCCTATCCCCACATAGGTTTTATTAAATTCATAACAGGTTCTGTTCCATTCACATGCGAATTCAAGACAACTTAAAAAAAAAAAGGAATCATGGAATTTTTTAACTTTATTACCTTGTCATCTTCACAATACTCAACACCCACAAGAAATATGGATAGACAAACTAACAAGATACTTACTTGAAAACTTGTGAACAAGTGTTTGACAACAAATTGTTAACACTATTACATTAAACACTTCATTCATTATTTGTCTAGCACCATTAGCACTCCAAACTACAAACTCAAATACTTTTCCATTAAAAATAAAAGGCTTAGAAAAATAATTTATTATGATATGACATAATGTTACAAAACAATATGGAAGAATGTCATCTTGGCAATATATTATTGTACTCCTTACCTATCCATTTCCAAAAATTATAATTTTTGTTCAGTAAATCTTTTACATTGTAGAAAATCACTTTGTATAATACAGAACTTAATTAAACATACTATGAACCCATGCTGAAAAGCATCGTTTCTCAGTGATTTGGTTGAAGGAGGTGGGCCCTAATTTTTTGTTTTCCTGCTGGTTCTTTAAACAGAGACTACATCTGGTTTGGCTTCACTGCAACTAAGCTTCACTTCTACAAAATCTTATCACTCAAAAGACACAAATAATTTGTGCTTGAAAAATGGTTGAAATACTAAAGGAACAAAATAGAAATAAATGATACAATCTTGAATTGAAGCATTTTCTACTTCTTTCAGTTCCTTTTCCACTTGGCGGGAGTACTGCCGAAGGTCCATACCCTAGAAAATTAATATTTGAAAAAAACATTCTAAATGTAATACTACATTTATTTATGTGAAATACTACAAAATATTCTCATTTAAAAAAATATATATCACATTTTGAATTTTGGGCTTATCAATATCATAACACCTACAGGCCCCCAACTTCATACATGCTGACAATCACCTTCTTTTAACATTAAACAAATAACAATGTCACATTAACTACAGGCCCTCAACATTGTACATGATGACAATCAACTTGTTTTAACATTAAATAGATAACTAAACAGAATATGAATCAACAAGATTTATTTTTTCTTTGATAACTTACTAATTAGCATTATATGCCTTTGAAACAAACATTATCATTACTTACTGTTTTACCAAAATATTACAAAAAAATAGTTAATAAAAAAATATTTACAGCCAATGTGAGCCTTATCATTTCTTTTTCTTCTTCATTTAGTTCAGATCATCCACAACTTTTCTAACTTTACCATATTTAATGTTTAATCAGTGCTGGATTTAGAGGGGATGCAACCTATGAAATGGAATAGGGGCCTTTCAAGCTCCAAAAAAGGCCTTTATTTTGAATCACCTTAGGAAGGAGGCCTCCAGCATCACAGATTGCACGGAGGCCTCAAATGATCTAAATCTGGCCCTGTGTTTAATCTAGCATTTATTTACACTAATAACATTTAGAACTACTAAGGTAAAAATTATAATCTCATGTTAAGTACACCTCAATGTCGTTTAAAGATTTATTAAAATCATATGTATCATATTTTCAATAAAATGCAAACAAACAAAATTTAAATAAATGCCACAATTCAGAATTTCCATTATTAATTCATAATCCTAATCTTCAAAATAAAGTTTATTAACTCACAGATTTAAGAGCTTCCTTTATTATGTCATCTTCTAGGTTCTCCTGAATATGAACTGTGTACATAAAAAATATTAATAATGCCACAAGCAATTCCAGAATAAGTGTATTTTAAAATTATTATGATATATAATGCCTTATGCTGATGAAAAATGATCTATAGATCAGTATTTTGTAGGACATCACAATAAGACCAATACTAATTTTAATAAATCATTCTCTGCTGGCCCTATACTACAGGTTTTCTGTGAGAACATAATGTCAACTCAACCATAGTATGGGGCTAGTAAAGAAAGATGAAGTATATAATAGCAACTTGCCCATAGTATGGGGCTAGTTAAGAAAGAAGAAGTATATAATACCAACATGACCATAGTATGGGTCTAGTAAAGAAAGATGAAGTATATAATAGCAACTTGACCAGAATATGGGGCTAGCAAAGATAGATGAAGTATATAATAGCAACTTGACCATAGTATGGGTCTAGTTAAGAAAGATGAAGTATATAATAGCAACTTGACCATAGTATGGGGCTAGTAAAGAAAGATGAAGTATATAATAGCAACTTGACCATAATATGGGGCTAGTTAAGAAAGAAGAAGTATATAATACCAACATGACCATAGTATGGGTCTAGTAAAGAAAGATGAAGTATATAATAGCAACTTGACCATAGTATTGGGCTAGTAAGGAAAGATGAAGTATATAATCGCAACTTGACTATAGTATGGGTCTAGTAAAGAAAGATGAAGTACATAATAGCAACTCGACCATAGTATGGGGCTAGTTAAGAAAGATGAAGTACATAATAGCAACTCAACCATAGTATGGGGCTAGGTAAAAAAGATGAAGTATATAATAGCAACTTGACCATAGTATGGGGCAAGTAAAGAAAGATGAAGTACATATAGCGACTTGACCATAGTATGGGGCTAGTTAAGAAAGATGAAGTACATAATAGCAACTTGACCATAGTATGGGGCTGGTAAAGAAAGATGAAGTACATATAGCAACTTGACCATAGTATGGGGCTAGTTAAGAAAGATGAAGTACATAATAGCAACTTGACCATAGTATTGGGCTTGTACAGAAAGATGAAGTATATAATAGCAACTTGACCATAGTATTGGGCTAGTACAGAAAGATGAAGTACATAATAGCAACTTGACCATAGTATTGGGCTAGTAAAGAAAGATGAAGTATATAATAGCAACTTCACCATAGTATGGGGCTAGTTAAGAAAGATGAAGTAAATAATAGCAACTTGATAATAGTATGGGGCAATTAAAGAAAGATGAAGTATATAATAGCAGCTCAACCATAGTATGGGGCTAGTATAGAAAGATGAAGTAAATAATAGCAACTTGACCATAGTATGGGGCTAGTAAAGAAAGATGAAGTATATAATAGCAACTTGACCATAGTATGGGGCTAGTAAAGAAAGACGAAGTATATAATAGCAACTCGACCATAGTAGGGGCTAGTAAAGAAAGATGAAATAAATAATAGCAACTTGACCATAGTATTGGGCTAGTAAAGAAAGATGAAGTATATAATAGCAACTCGACCATAGTAGGGGTACTATGGTCAAGTTGCTATTATATACTTCATCTTTCTTTACTAGTGGGGCTGTTAAAGAAAGATGAAGTATATAATAGCAACTTGACCATAGTATGGGGCTAGTAAAGAAAGATGAAGTATATAATAGCAACTTGACCATAGTATGGGTCTAGTTAAGAAAGATGAAGTATATAATAGCAACTTGACATAGTATGGGGCTAGTAAAGAAAGATGAAGTATATAATAGCAACTTGACCATAGTATTGGGCTAGTAAAGAAAGATGAAGTATATAATAGCAACTTAACCATAGTATGGGGCTAGTTAAGAAAGATGAAGTATATAATAGAAACTTGACCACAGTATGGGTCTAGTAAAAAAAGATGAAGTGTATAATAGAAACTTGACAATAGTATGGGGCTAGTAAAGAAAGATGAAGTATATAATAGAAACTTGACAATAGTATGGGTCTAGTTAAGAAAGATGAAGTATATAATAGAAACTTGACCGTAGTATGGGGCTAGTTAAGGAAGATGAAGTATATAATAGCAACTTGACCATAGTATGGGGCTAGTAAAGAAAGATGAAGTAAATAATAGCAACTTCACAATAGTATGGGGCTAGTTATGAAAGATTTGTTCAAAATTTTTATTATAATGTAATGTTACACAAAGTACTGATCAATAAGTTTATTTTACTTGCACACTGTAATATAGGACACAGTAAAATACAACATTCAAAACAGGATAAAACAAAATCCTCATAAATAAAATAAATATTTCTTCACATTTTTTAGCATACTCAAACCATTTTATTTAAAAACATTATTTTGCAGCTTGTTCACAGATGACAGTAACTTTCTGTAAACATTCACATAGTATAAAAATTGAGTAGACAACAATTTCATTAACTTAATTATTTTAGAAACCAAAAATGTTTGAAAGTTGTAAGGTTTTTAATCAAAACTTTCAAACTTTTATTATAACTTTATTCAATAATACTTCAAGTTGGAAGTAAGAATTTATATCTCAACATATGATCTAATGAAAACATTTAAAGGAAATTTCATTTATCCAGAATATAAGTATTAAAAAGTTAATTATAATTTCCTTATGCAAAATATGTTTGGAAAATAGATAAGGTTTGAACATACAAACTGGAACAATGGTGGGCAAATTATGGCCTGCATGCAGGATCTAGCTAGTCTAACATTTCTGTCCTGCCCACCATAACTCCTGGCAATTATGAAAAAAAATAATGTGGTCTTTATACAATCGATGCTGAGGTCATTAGATTAATATAGTAGTAATGTGCAGCCTGTGATGACTTACCAAATTTTGTAGAGTGGCCCCCCTGTGAAAATCATTGCCCACCCCTGAGCTAGAGGGAAAGCAGCTAGTGAACAACACCTATTACCAACTCTTAAGCTCCACTTCTCTGAGCAAATAGTTGAATTTTACCATCATATTTATAATGCACCCACAGCCCCAAGGTGTTGAACACATTTTTTCAGCAACAGAACATAAACTATGAAATCTTAGGTTAACAGTCTAAGCATGCTAACCAATAGACTATGACAAGCCAAAAAAGAAAAAATATAGTCAATAATAATTGACAACAAATTCCAAATCAAATCACATTTGATTTACCTAGAGCATACATGTGAAAAAATTAGAAAGTATCAAAACTGTCACATACCATCGACCTCCTCTAGAGTCTGATCATCAGTTGCCATTTTGCTGTTTCAAAACTTCTCAGTCATCTGTTGTAATTGACCTAAAGATTTATTGAAACCAATATTTTAAATTTACAAATTTGACATCTGATGATCAAATGCTCATACATTTTACTAAAACAAAATTCTATGAATAATAACATAATTCTATGTCATCTTTTTAACAAACACAGACACTCATGTGAAATACATTCTAAGTGTATTGGCATTTTATGCAATCAGACAGACAATTGTGGAACTTTATGTTGCCACGATGTACATTATAAATCAGCACTGAATCAATGGACCCATTAAATTCCATTAGTAAGTGCTGTTAAATACACTTTAAAAAATAAAACCTGAATAGAATAATGCCAAAGACTGATTGATACTGTGCAGGGAAATATAACAATAGCCATGCATGACTATTAACCACAGTTAAGTTGGTAGAACACGAGGTATTGGAACTGAAAGTTGGGAGCCAAAGGTTACATCTGATCTCTTGCCGATTGCATAATCTCACATTTAACCAATTCAGATTAATGAAAGCAGTGAAGTATTAACCATATCATTATTATCACATTAATGTTTTGATATATGGGTAGCTAAACTACACAAAATATTTGAAGAACAGGTGGTATTTAATGTACTAGAGCTGTGTCAAGAAAAACCCACTGTTAAACATTCTGCTAATGACATTCTGAGACACTTGGAGTCAGTTTACAACAGTCCACTGTTCTAGGAACATGATTCAAAACATATTCTCTGACATTTAGCCATGAAGCATTTAAAACTTTGATTCATTACAAAGTAGCAAATGAAACATGAATGTGCAAGGCCATTATATATAACGATAAATATATATATATGCAAAAACTCGTCATCAGATAATTTATTTACAAAGCAGTGGTCTTTCCTTGTCAAAGTCATTATATTACAATTTATTCCAAATATTTTTTAATTGCTTTGTGCAGTTTATTTATTCTAAAAAAAAAGGAATGATATAATATTATATCCAGAAAAAAAAAAAAGTTATTTTATTTTATAACCCCGTATTTCATACTAGGCCAGCACACTTTTTATTTTCACATGAACCTAATAAATACAAGATTATGTATGTCAATCATTTACATTATGAATATGATACTTAAATCTAACAGTAACACTATAAGTTGTAAGTTTAACAGTTCAATTTTAATTATAAATTGCATAAAACAATTAAAGAGAAAATTAATGCAATACTTCAAGCCACAGAGCAGTCTTGGGATAAATCAACTGATTAACTATCCTTAATAAGACAAGAAATAAATAAAGTTAAGAAGTTCCGTGCCACGGTACATTAATAATTAATTATAAACACAGCCTAACGATAAGCCTAACTTGTGATCATGGCATCAATCCCAGTTCTAGTATTATCATAGTATTAGTAATATCGAGTAGTAAAGTTTAGCTAGAGGAAAGTGCAACAAAACTTGTAATAACATATGTACAGATAAATCTTTTTAGGAGTACGATACTTTCAGTCTTCACTCTTTGTGTACTTTTCTCGGTTAATACGCTAACAGAATTTCAAAATTACAACAATCTTTCCTATCAAATATAGACTGAACAATCAATGTGGATTAACGGCGTAACTTTAACCTTTGGTTTGCACAGAAAAATAATGCTTCCCACATCCCCTCAACTCGAGCAAATTTCAACTACGGAAGACATTTTTTTCCATGGAGTACGAAATTTATTAACATTATATATCTATACATGTATATATATATTACTTACGTATGCAAGTTCCCTGTAGTTGTAAAATGTTTATTGCACATTTAACGTATTTTTCATAATATAAAAACAACAACATGAAATTATAAAAAAAATATCTGTCGCTGATTCTGATAATTCATTATACTGACGAACAAGAGGCTAACAATTTAGAAAATAAATGTGATATTGAAAATTGTAATAATCCGCCTGTGTCCTCCAGTAGCTCAGTTTCCACTCTGAAGGCTCACACTGCTAAAAACTGGGTTTCGATATTCGTGGGCACAATACAAATTTTGCCCATCCTGTTGCTTTGCGCTTAACTACTAACAAACAAAAATACGTCCATAGCAACTCGGTAAAGAGAACCTATCACTGTATAGCCAAAATAAATAATGTATTGGTCCAAGAGTGGCCTAGTGGTTAGCATACTGTTACGTCTCTGTTCGTTTGTTAATTTCCCGTAAAAATTCTTTCCGAAGAACTTCAACGATACAAGTCCTTTTTTAAATAAAACTAGTTTATTCTTTCTCAATACAACTTTGCAATAAACTTAATTTCCACAGTCACTTTAAGTTAAACACACGCCATAATTCACAATGATTTACGCACTTTACTTCAATTTGACTCGATTATCTGTCTCCCTATCTCTCTGTCTGCTATCCAATTAATTATCTCGCTTTATTTGCCGCGCTTATATACAAGAATAGAGGGCGTCTACAATGCACTCGCCTCTTCATGGACCTTCTAGACACTTATCACGTGTTACCAGCGTCACGTGACCTCCACTGTTGTAACAATACCATTATGCGGCTCGAGTGGTCCAAGGCTAAAGCCCGCATTATGCTTCTCTATATGCTCCACGCTTTCAGCTCAGAGCACGTTATGAAAAACAATCAGCCTGTGCCGTTATTCAGTTAAAAAATAGCCGTATAGTCGGAAGATCCTTATGAGTAGTTCTCATAATTAGAGACAACTGTGCCTAAACCTTGGGGGCTTTAATCCTAATTGGGGTTAGACTATGTGCTGTACAAGGTGCCTTTCAGATTGAAAATACTAAATACTGTGATGTAACATTTCTACAGATTCTAGTGTTTTATACTACTGTTATGACAGCGGAAGTTAGGCGAATCTGGGAGCAAGCGCGCTGGAGTTTCTAGAAGGATCATGACTTCTCCTGACAACTCTAGTCTGCTCCAGGCGCCCTCTCTTTTAGTATATAAGCTCGGCAAATAAAGCGGAGAAATAATTGCTGAGAGACAGGGAGATTGAAGATAGAAATAATCGAGTCAAGCAGTAAGTAAAGTGTTTGAATCACTGTGGTTTATAGCGTGTGTTCATAAAAGTAGTCAAGTTTAAAGTAACTGTGGAAATTCTGTGTATTGCAAGGTTGTATTGAGAAAAAATAAACTAGTTTTAATTAAGAAAGGACTTGTATCACTGAATTTTCTCGGAAAATATTTATACCGGAAAGTAACAAACGACCAGATACCAACAAATTAGTGTCAGAGAGTGGGACAAAAAAAAAGAAGATGGAAACGAGAAGTGACAAATCAAACTACAGCTTAGCAGATTTGATGGCAGCAATACAAGAACAGCAAAAGAAACAAGAAGAGAGACTAAAGCAGTGGCAACTGGAACATGAAAGGAAACAGAAAGAAAGTATCCAACAGTTGCAGGAAAGCCAGCAGCAACTACAGGAAAGTCAACAACAGTGGCAAGAAGTACAAATGGAAAACATTAGTAAAGTTCAAAGTGAATTAAATACATTAAAGGACAATTTACTGTCTTTTACACAGGGAGGTTATATTAACCATTGACCTAATCAGCCCCAGACAATAGGAAGCCTCTTCTAGACCCCGCTGCTAAACCCTAATGCAAACATCTTCAGTCCTACCAGAAGTCAGATTCCAGACATGAGTGTCAGCATTAGGGGTGATCTAGTATGAAGGAAGCCACAGGAATTCGATGCGAAAGTACCATGGGAAGCATATAGAGAAAACAATTTGAGCTCCTGGCAGAAATGAATGAATGGACAGAGGAGCAGAAAGCAGTGTATCTCCCAACGGATCTGAAGGGACAACGACTGGAAATACTTGAACAGTTATCAGCAGACGACAGGCACAACTAAAGAGCATTGGTAGCTGCTCTAGAACTCAGGTATGGAACTCAAAATCAGTCCAAAGTCTGCAGGGCTAGGTTTAGGACTAGAGTCCATGCTAAAGGGGAGAGCCTGGTAGAGCTGGCACAGGACTTGGAAAGTATGGCACACAAAGCCTACCCAACTACACCACCCGATGTTCTCAAGCTGTTGCTGAGGGATCAGTTTGTAGATGCCTTGGAAAGTCCACAACTGAAGATACAAGTACAGCAAACACACCCCTCTACTATGCAGGATGCAATGGCCAGAGCTCTTGAATTCGAATCCTACATTAAGTCCAGCACAGAGGTACCAAGGTTTGTACAGTCATCAGGATTCAAGGCCAGAAGAGGGCAGCTTTTGGAGAAGTTTGAGGGACTTTGCTGGCACTGTAACAAACCTGGACACAAGAGAGCTCAATGCTGGAAACTTCAACACAAGGAAGATGTCACAGCAGGAAAGGCTGCTATTCAGAAAGATTGTTAGAACTGTGGAGAGAAAGGACATATGATGAGCCAGTGTAAGAAGAATACTACCAATAAGTCAGCCTCGGGGAAACCAGTAGTGGTTGGTGATGAGGTACACCCACCAACCCCCATCGTGAAAGTCCCAACAGCTAAGTGTATAATGGCAAGCAAACATAGTGTCTACGTGACAGGAAAGCTGGATGGCCAAAAGTGCAACTTTGTCATAGATTCTGCATCTCAGCAAACCCTTTTGAGTATCAAGGTGCTGAATCACAAAGGAGTACCAGAACCATACAGAAGCTCCGTGGTGTGACAGGACATTATGCAAGATTGTGGGACCAGTGTAGGTAACTATTGAGCTCATGGGCATAAGGGTCAGACACAAAGTATACTTGGCTGACATTAAAAACCAATGCATATTTGGGTTGGACTACTTATTACCGAGGAAGTGTGTAGTTAACTTTGATAAAATGACGATTGGGAACAACAAAGGCAAAATTCCAGTAAGTGTT